ACTTCAAGTTCTGTGCAAAAACGCATGATCGCACGGGCCCGCCCGGTGCGTTCCAGCCTGGGTTTGCAGCTATGCAGTGCAGAAAACGTATATTGACGAGGGATTGTCTGTGTGTCCGTGTGTCTGTGTCTGCGTGTGCGTGTGCCTGTGCGCCTGTGTGTGCGTCTGTCACCCACTTTCAATTCAAGACCTATAAAAGCTGCGGGGCTGAAATTTCGGGAACTTGATCTACATGCACGTGCCGGCCCCAATTCCCAAAACGGGCGCCAAAACCCGCGTGGTACGCCAAAGCTTTTTTGGGGTAAGCTCATAACTCGGGAATCTGAAAAGCTAGAACGCTGAAATCTTAAGCGAATGTTCCTCGTCTAAGTATGTGCTAATGCACTGAAACTCATCCCCCGGGTAATCGTGATACCCGCGTACGAGCCCGCCAAAGTTTTTTTTTGGGGGGGGGGGTATTTCCATAACTCGGAGATCTGAGAAGCTGGAGCGCTGAAATCTTAGGGGAATGTTCTCCGTCCAACTGGGTATTAATGCACTCAAACCCATTTCCCGGGTAAGCGTAGTACCCGCGTATGGGCCCGCCAAAGTTTTTTTCCGGTAAGTTCATAGTTCGGGGATCTGAGAAGGTAGAACGCTAAAATCTTGCGGCAGTGTCCCCCGTCCAAGTAGGTATTAACGAGTTCAAACCCTACCGCTGGTAAGCGTGGTACCTACGTACGGACCCTTGAAAGTTTCGTCCGGGTAAGTTGCTAACTCAGGAAAGTGAGAAGCCAGAAGACCGGGATTTTGAAAGGACGTTTCCTGGCAATCCTGGTGGCCAGTCTGAAATTCTTTTAGCTGTAAGCATCTGCCAGAAAAACCGGTGCCGCTAGCGACAAAAATCTGCTGGGAGCTATGCAAAAAACGCACCTTCGCACGGGCAGCCCGTGCACTGGCCAATTATTATGCGTTTTTGCTTATATGCAAATACAAAAATGCATATCGTGACGACCTCGGTGTGTGTGTATGTGTGTGTTTGTGTGTGTGTGTGTGTGTGTGTGTGTGTGTGTGTGGGTGTGTGTGTGTGCGTTTGCCCGGGTATTTCAACTTGGCACTCAAGCAAGCTTCGGCGCTAAAATTTTGCTGGTGAGTTTCCCGGCCAAGTGCCACCTCAGGACCGCGGTATCAGCTCTCACGCAAGTCTGGGCCCCGCGTACAAAGGGATGAAATTTTCGACGGGAAAATCGCTAACTCGGAAACCAGCAAAGCTAGAAAGCTGAAGTTTTGGGCACGAAAACATCAGATTACAGGCAACGTGCCCCCACCTGTACCTGGCAGCGGGTCGCATTTACACATTCCTGACTGACTAGTTACCTGCACAAGATGTTGCGCGTTACCTGTATAAGATGCTGGTCGTTACCTGTATGGACCGCCCACCCTCTCGCGCTGTAGCGCTTCCGCTCCGCCTCTCAGCTGTCGCTAGGACCAGTTTTGGTCCGCTTTGTTAGCTGCCACCTCCTTCCTTCGACTGTCCCCCATTCCCTCCTCGCCGCACCCGCAGCCTCTCATCCTTCCCAGCTGCATCCGTATCCTTTCCTTGCAGTTTTATTCCCCACTTCCTCCCCGCCTTCTGTTCCCCAGCCTCTATATTGCATAGTAATACAACAATTAGTAAATACTTTATTTAATAGAAAATTAAAAAAAAAAACTATGAAACAACGAAGAAAGGACAAAGAAGTGCGTTTTTTCAAATCATTTTTTAAACAGTCAAGCATGCATTTTGCCAATAACAAGAAAAATCATTTAAGGAGCGAAATCAATATCACTTTTCCAACTATAAGCGAGAACAAATGCATTGTATGGGTTTTATGGTATTTCCGCTCACTTTTGTTCATTACAGTAACGCAATCCCTATGCTCTTTTAATTTAATTTACCCATCTACAAATTCTTTCCTTCCCCTTTTCCTCGGCAAATTTTTCTAATTCGCCTGTGTGGCGCCTTTTGTACCGTCGTCACCGTAAAGGGGGAACATTTCCTCACTTCCGGGACATCTTTTAGGCTGCTTATAGACCTTCGTCTTCTTCACTCTGGGCCCTGCTCTCGTCTACAGCCGGGAGTATGTGTCTTCCCACATTTCCCATCCTTCGACCC